CTAATCCCACCACTGACTGGCCTCGCCCCCACCCATTTTTGGGCTGTTTTCGGCTGTTTTTGGGGGTGTTTTTTGGCTGTTTTTCGGACCATTTTTTGGCCATTTTTTGACTGTTTTGCACGGTTTATGACTGTGGCAGCATCCTATAGTCACATCATCAAAATTCAGATGCTTGGCAACTGGTTCATATTTCTGCTGGTTGCAGTGTTCCAGGGTCATGTGATTACCTTTTGCGACCGTCTGACAAGCAAAGTCAATGGGGAAGCCAGATTCACTTAACAACTATGTTACTAACTTAACAACTGAATGAATCAAAGTGAATCAAAACAACTTGATTCACTTAACAACTGTGGCAAGAAAGGTTATAACATGGGGCAAACTCACTTAACAAACATCTCACTTAATAACAGAAATGTTGGGGTCAACAGTGGTCATAAGTTGAGGACACCTTATATTTATGACAGTTGCACTTTTCTAGGTGTCAGGGTTCCAAGTAACAACCCAGATGAAATCAAAACTCATGTGATCATCATTTGTAACCTTCCCAACTGACTTCTGACTAGCAAAATCAATGGGGGAAGCCAGATTTACTTACTGACCGCATGATTCATTTAACAACTGCAGTGATTCGCTTAACAACTGGCAATCAAAATTGAGTGGCTCAGCTCTAGTTCCTGCGATTATTTTTGTTTGAATGGTTAAAGAACACTTGGGGTGTGAAAGTGCTGTGACAGTCATTAGAGGAGGCAAATTTAACAACGTTTATTCAAGTTTTTAAAAAGACAGTAATAAAAGAAACTGCAAACAAAATTCAGAAAATAAAAAGAAAAGAGAACAGAAATTCCAGGAAAAGAGGGGGGGGAAGGAAAAGAAAAGAAGAAAAAGCAAAAAATAAGCAAGCAAAATATTTAAAGTGATCTTCATCACAACTAGAAAAAACTTGGTAATTCTTCATCCTTTATAAGGTTACATGCAAATATTTCTTCTTCCCATAAACCATCCTTTATCCATATGTCAATCTATACATCATTAACATTTTTATTCCTGGTGTCTGCAAAAGTTCATAAAGAGTTCTCAGAATTCTATAGAAACTTGTCTTATTTTAGCATTGGTCAAATAAACCAATATTGTATTCCTTCCTTTGCTTCCAGGAATTTTAATGTTTATTTCATTCAGATATTGTCATAGGATTTGATCTCTCTTCACATTTTTTTCCATCTCAGAAGTTTCTTCAAGGCACAAACTTCTTTCATAAAACCAGTAAGCAGTCACTATCCAGGTCATTCTCTTGGTTTATCATTTGTATTTCCACTTTAACTGTCATCTCTGTTTTATAATCCACATTTTTTTCATGTTCTAGTATTTATATTCTAATCCTAGTCCCATGCCATGTATGGCTTTAAAGATGAAAACCATCACCTATTCAGTAGTCTTGTAAAGAAACGTGACAAAATCATGAGATTAAATATTCCTTTTTTACAAGAATCCTGCTACCTCTGGAAAGCTAGTTTATCAAGGAAAAAAATGATAGCCCAAGCTACTTCCTGAAGGCTCTGTTTCCTTTCCTTTCCTTCACTATTTCTAAAGATTTACCATATCTAAAGAGTTAGAGCTGCCTGGTATAAAATAAATATGTGCTATATTTATTCACAATCATCTTAATCATTATGGAGAAAAAATTCACTTAAAAAACCCTGTGTTAAGTATCCCTAATTCAGGCTCTATTCTTTCTGCTCCATCCATCCCACATGTGATTCAGGAAAATGTTCTTCCATTCAACAATGCAAGTTAAGCAAACTGTGCTAAAAAAATAAAACCCTTTAAACTTGTTTTCTCCTTTTGTATATTTTGAGGAAATGCTACAGTCTGAAGACTTTGCTGATATTCACCTATGTGATTGTTCTGCCTGAGGGCCTATAACTGCTTTGAAGTTGGTTACTCAATGTGTAAGTGAAAGTGAACTAACTTTAAAGCCGTGGCACCTCACTGGACTATCAGGAATATGAAACTACTCCTAGTAGTCATTCTTGCATATCCCACAGTCTTGACTATATGAAATATATTTTTAGATTCATATCATTTGTATTTATTTCATTTATATTCCACCTTTCCATCCAATATGCACACACATACACACACACACGACCACAATACAAATATATCAATATTAAAATTAAATCAAAACATATTAAAATCCCCAGCTAAAGAAGTAAAATTTAATTCATTTCCCAGAAGAAAGGTAAATGAGGTAAAATGAGGACTCAGATTGTTGGGGGCAATATGCTAACATTGTAAACTGCTCAAGAGAGCGCTCTAAAGCTCTATGGAATGGTATATGTCTAAGTGTTATTGCTATTGCTAATATTAACAGAGTTTAGAAAGATCACAAGAATATGTTTTGTAATTTGGAAGGAAGGTAGGTGAAATGTCTACCATGTGCTTAACAAAGACCTTTAAAAAGAGAGAGAGAGAGAGAGAGAGAGAGAGAGAGAGAGAGAGAGAGAGAGAGAGAGAGATTTTCACTGAGTATTTAAGTGCCCAGACAAGATTATAATTGGAGAAGCAATCTATCAGCTAGTCAATCCAGGGGTGGGTTCTAAATTTTTTTACTACCGGTTCTGTGGGCGTGGCTTATTTTGCGGTCGTGGCTTGATGGTCATGTTTTATACCAGCATTGTCCAACATTGATTTAAACCTTGTGTTTACAAACTCAGTACCGTTATCAGTTACAATGGTAACTATTTTTTGCTTTGTTTTTCTCTCGACAAACTTGATCCACTGAACAATATACCGAAATGTATCTGTCTTATTCCTCAATAGGTAGTAAAAACCATACCTGGAGTAATGTTCAACTATGCTTAGGACATAACAAGCACCCCCTAGACTAGCTTTCATTGGCCCTATTAGATCAGCGAATATCACTTCCAGTGGTCTCTTTGTTTTAAATCCATCAAACCTGTTGGCAGGGAGTGTTCTGCTCTTTTGCTGATTACAAATATTGCAATTTAAATACTGGTTACATGGCTTCAGCTTCAACCCATCAACTAATTTTAACTGCTTGCAGAGCTGCTACCGGTCTACTCATTTGTTTTTGCAGGCACTGATCTACTCATTTATTTTTGCAGGCACCGGTCTACCACCACACTGCCTTTTAACACTGATCAGCTGTAGGGCGGCCCTTTGAAGCCCCGCGGCAAGAGTTTGAACAGTTTTTTTTCTTCTAGCCGATCAGCTGGAACTCAGGAGGCAGCAATAGATTGGGGGTGGGGCCAAATAAAAGGTAAGAATAACTCGGGGGGTGGGTGGGGGGCGAGGGGGCAGAACCAGTTCGGTGACATCATATCGTCACTGCTACTGGCTCGGTGGAAGCGGGCCGAACCAGGAGGAACCCACCACTGAGTCAATCCCTACATAATCTAAATTCTGAAGGTTACAATCCTGTGATTTAGGCTAAGACAACAATGAGCAACCAAAGCAGATTTTTCATCAAAGCATGATTGGATCTCATCACTGTACTTTCTTTTGATTGCTGACTTTGCGTTATCTAAAGTTTCTGTACTTTCATCAAGGTGAATTGCAATATCTATGAATGGAAACAGCTAAAACTCTAAATATAGTTTTGAAAATGTACTTCATGCTATCACCATCATCTGGAGATCCAGAAATAGTTGCAGTTCAAAGGTTATGTATAGACCATAGTCAACTATCCATTCATTTAGTAATGAATTTTAAAAGCATTTCGGTCAATGCTGCTCTAAATCAACAATATAATAACACACAAAATAGAAATGCACAATAAAGTTATGGTAAAAATTACAAGTTGTATACTATTCCTGCAACTGGGAGTTCTATAGCACCTAAGGCCCAAAGGCTTTCTACAATAGCCAAGTGTTTACAAGCTCCTAGCAGGCCAGTTGGGTGGCCACTTGTTTCAAAGCAAGGGAGCCTCCATACAGAATGTCTTCTTTTGGCTCCCGGCTATCACATCTCCTGATCTTCAGCAAGTATCTGTCCTTTGACAGATGCATCATCTACAGTATGTGTTACAGAAAGACTTGCAGTTAGAACTTCAAGAGGCTTTCTAGGGCTGAGTCATATACTATAAGGCTTTGTAGGTGATATCTAGCACTGTCAATTTCTCTTTTAAGAGAAGTAGACCTTGATAGGGAATAATCTGAATTTCTAGACCCACACTTTCTTTCCAATAGATACTTTTCAGTGTTGTCTGAATTGCATTTCAGTTTTTCAATCTAATTGGCACTTCTGGAAGGTCCAGACCAGAAAAATTAACAGGAAATTACTGAATGATAACATATCTAATTTTCACAAAACCCCTCTTTCGTTCTATACATACATTTAAAAAAATTTTTTGATTTATATGCCGCCCTTCTCCGGAGACTCAGGGCGGCTTACAATGCGTTAAGCAATAGCCTTCATACTTTTGTATATTTTTTACAAAGTCAGCTTATTGCCCCCACAAACTGGGTCCTCAATTTACCTACCTTAGAAAGGATGGAAGGCTGAGTCAACCTTGAGCCTGGCAAGATTCGAACTTACTAATTGCAGACAGCTGGAGTTAAATTACAATGCATTAGTCTGCTGAGCTATCCAGGCTCCTTTTATCTCTTTATATACATTTATGTACACTTTAAGGGATACTGAGAATGGTATTCCAACTGTGTGTAGGAAAGGTGGAGGGGCTGACGCATCTCTCTCTTTCTCGTTGTTTATATTCTTAAGCAAGCAGCATTTTGCAGATACGGGCATCTGACTCCCAAAACAAGGCTCTGTATTCGGAACATTGTGTTTGTTTTGATGACATTCCACCCATTGAATTATAAATTTCACCCTATGAAATCCATCATAAAGATATAATACTTGAGGAATTTCTTTTCCTTTGGTTTATTTTTCCAAACATTTTGAGAAAACGAGATGGCTATCTGCCGTTTCCTTATTTTTTTGCAGGAAAGCTAAGGGTTGTTGACTTCCTCTCCCCTCCCTTCCTTCCTTCTTTCTGAAGGTACAGAACTCATCTGAGAAAAGAAGAAAAAAAACAGAATGAAGTGATTGTTCCTGTTCTCTTTCTTAAGTCATTTGGAACACTGTCCCTCCACGTTTTCTAAATGCACTGCAGCTGCCACACGAGAAGTGACAACTTTGCCAATTAGGCAGCAATTACAAGCATTGGGTCACTACCACTGTCGGGTCAGCACCTGGTAAGTTAACCTTCCACAATTTCTTAAGGCAGCATGTAAACTATTAATAAATGAAAGTTGAAAGATCAAATACATGCTTCTTTGTGGGTCCCAAGCAATTCAATTTGGCAAGAGCTTAGTATGCGTGTTTATGTATGCATGTGTGCATTCTACAATTAACTATGCAGTACTCCATTTTCTAGATGCCAGATCAAACAGTCTGAAATTTAAGAAAGAGGTGACAATTTTTACAACTGTAGTAAACATTTTTAGTGCATCCTAAAAGCTGCGATCCTTTTTGTTTTAGTGCATTTCCTGATGCGAATGACATGCTTCAGATCCTCATGAAATCTCAAAATAATTCATCCGAGAAATGCACTTGCTTGTGGCCCTTAGTAGCTAATTCATTTAGCCTGGGCTGCACAGGGGCCTGAATGATCTCTTTAAAATCTTCTATTTTTAAGCAGAAGGTGGAGACTATAATTATATGAACAGTGCCTTGTGTATAAACTGTTAATATCTCAAGTGCTCTCTTTCCTGAAAGTGTACAATACCAATGGACCAACCACTTTGCATCATAAGCAGCAAAAGATTCTGGGAGCTGTTTTATAAACAAACACCCCAAAATCTAGGCAACATTTCTGTTAAGTAAATTCTAGTTACAAGGTTTGTTCTGTTGAGTCATGTATTGTATCCTCCCAGTATCTTGCTGACTGCAATTTTAGCTGTATTTTAAGTTTTAGTTATACGCCGAGACACCTAGGAGTAAGCCTTACTTTCACACTGAGGTGCAGTAACTTCCTTTCCTTTCCTTTCCTTTCCTTTCCTTTCCTTTCCTTTCCTTTCCCTCATTCTGCAGGCAGAGCATTGGTGGTTTAAATGTGAAGTATTAATCGTATACCGAAGACCAAGTTTTTCTCACATCTAAGCTGTCTGGGAATTATATAATATTTAGACATTTTAGAAATGCATTCCATTCTACAAAATTGGGGTTATTTCTCAATAAGGACATGTTGTTACCAGCCTCAATATTTTAAGTGAAGAGCCCTCTTCCTCAAGCTCCAATCCTGTATAGGTTAAGCATTGTTGAACCAATTGCAACAATTCTGAAGAAACATACATAGAATTGTACTGTGCACTATGTACTATGATATTTGGGGATATCAGAATTGGGCTGCAAAAGTCTGAATTGCCACTAAGCAAAGAGAGACAAGAAAACTTTAACTCCACACTTACTACTTAGTGATTGTCTAGATTTTTATAGCCCAGACTTTCTGGTCTTAACTAAACCTGTGCTACTAAAATTAGTCCTTTTCCAGAATCCTTTTCATATTTTGTTGTCTGAAGTTTGTCAAGCATTCGTAACTGCCAATTTTCAAGAAAGACTTTAAAAACATTTTATTCACAACAAGAATGCATCTGATTGTTCTGACTGAAATTTTATCTGAACTGTGACTTCTGTGCATTTTTAACAAGGGCTTTGCTGGATGTTTGTTTTAATGTTAGTTTTATTAATTCTTTGTTTCTTTTATTTCATACCCCATAGAAGAGTTTTGCTCTTCCATGAGCAAATATAGAAATATTTTAAAATAAATAAATAAACCTCCCTGAAGTTTGGGACTAAAATCAAGTCCATGGCAAAGTGGGAGGGTTTTTTTCACATATGACATCATATGCAACTTTCTATTATCTACAATGCTTTAACATATTTGTTGGAATTTTCAAAGGTATGTATGCCTATCTAATTGATGGACTTATTCGCTGTCTTTCTAATGAAATTTCCTCTGGTTGAGGTAAGCGATACAGGAGAAGTTAACATTCTCAGAAATATTACGACCTGAAGCATAATTCAAAATAACAGTAATTTTTGGAAAAGTTCATATATGGGTCAGTGCTTAATCTGTAAAGAGTAATGTTAATTTTTAGATCATATTTTATATTTGTCATATTTAAATATAAAGTAAAAAAAATATTCTTGTAGTTAGTGCTTCAAGTGATTCATTCTGAAGGTTGTTTTAGAATGAGAATTGATAATTTAATGACAATCAGAATAGAAATAAAATAAAACGTTCAATTACTATGTTATAAGGAAAAAAGTAACTTCTTCAGGCAGTTTGGTGTGCTTCTTTGCTTAAAGATGTGCTATCATGCCTTCGTACCTTTAACAGCTCAAAAATGCAAAATTATAAGTCAAATAATGAGCAAACATTGAAAAGTATTAAATGAGCGATAAAAATACAGTATATAAATATTAATTAAAATAAAGTCCAAAATACCAAGCCATGTCAAATAGCAGAGAGAGAGAATGTTCAGTATTATATGCAATATTTAATCATTCAGCAAATTGGAAAGGCTCTTTGAAACAATGTTACCTTGCAGTTAATTTATAGTAATTTTGAAAGGTAGTGCTTTCTTGGATTTGCACACTATAGTTAATGCTGCTTGGAGAGTTGGTCTTTACATATTGGATGAACCCAGCTGATTAAAACTTATTCAGTAAATTAGGCTTAAGCAAAATACAGTTTAGCACAATGTATAAACCAGAGCAGTGGTAATTCCCAATGTCCTTGATTATGGTTATTTATCAATACAATTTCTAGCCCGCATATTCCTTGTTAACGAGTCATAAAGTAATGAACAGTTTGAAAAATAACACAATAAAGCATTCTTAAAATGATTACAAGAAGATGATGGTGACAATTCTCTGAAAACTCACACTGTTAATGATAAAACCTCTAACAATCCTCCTATTTAAAATCATGATCAGCTAGTGTATTCCTGGACCTATGCAGAACTGTAGTAAAGAGTCTATTTTAAATAATTTGGCCTTGAGTCAACCCTGAAATGAATCCATTAAACAGAAAGAAGAAGATACTGCTTAAAGGAAGAGGAAGATAAACCAAGAAGTAGATGAATTTTCATAAAAGGGAGAACCACATTTGGGGTTAAATTGGCAGATGTTTTAGTAAATTCTCTGAAGATCCATGTAAGTAATTACCTTCTCCTCTAGGTTTCACTTCCCCTGAATTAGTCATGTTGGTGAGCGATAGATCTGCATCAGAGTATGAAGAGACTATATCATTATATCATTGGAGTCTTCTTTAGGGTTACCAAATCTGGACTGCAAAAATTCAGACAAATCCTGATTGTGAATAATATTTAAGAGGAGGAGCTTTCTTAAACATTGGCAATGATGATACATGGAGATCAGAGATAGGCAATCAAGTCACAATTATAATCAGCGAATGATGGACAAAAGTGATATATATGGTCTACGTGAGAAGGAGTAGTCTTATAACAGACCTGGTGTGTGGAGTGACATGGCCACAAGGCTAACCTCTGCTTCCATGTGCATCTCAGTGTTGACATAGCTGACACTATGCCATAGCAAGAGGGAAAAAACTGTTTTCATAATTGGAGTGCCTCAGCTAGACTTTGGCACACCCTGAGTGCCTAGCTGGTACAGGATGGCTGCTGCAGTGTGAAGTACAGTCATGCTTTCCGCGAATGTTAAGTGAGCTGTCCTTATGCCACAGCAGAAGAGTTCTGTGGATGTGGCTTTAGTCTTCCTCAGAGTTTCCCAAGTTGCTACATAAATCTGGAAATTACATCACACAGTACACGAGCTCCTTGTAGAAATGAAACGTATACTGTAAAACATAGACAAAAATCTTCCATATAAAAGGGACACCGGATGGGTGGAGGAATAATGAATATTTTGTTGTTCATATTTCCAAGTTTCTGTTTACTATCTGTTTATGATTGTTTGTTTTCCTGTCATGGTTTTATACTTTTTTAAATTTGGAATTTCCCTGATTTCCTAAAAGGTAACTCTTTTTATCCCCTTAGCTGGGATAATACTTGCAAGCAACACAGTGGGGATCATGTCCTTGATATATGATATTGCAGTGTCAAATGAGGACAGTATCTATTGTCCTTACTCGGAATTGTCTTCATAACAATGGCTATATAAGGATAGGATGAAGTTGGTTGAGAGTGAGAGCAGTAATTTTCCATCTCTTGAACTTGGCTATATGGAATCATCACAAAAAATAAATTCTACTTCAAGGAAACATTAGAAACATTCCTTTGCTTTGAATTGTGGTTAGAGATGAATCATTTCTGTGTCTGCCTATAATTCATTCTTCATAGATGACCAAAATACATTGTATGAATAGGAAATAGTCTATTTGTTGAGGGTCACCAGGCAATTCCAGAAAAAGATGCAACTAATTTAAAGAGTTGCAGACAGATGGTCTGGGAGTCCTAATATGCTCAATATGTTCTAAAACAGTGGCCCCCAGTCTTTTGGCACCAGGGACCGGTTCCATGGAGAGAGGTTTTTCCGAGGACCAGAGGGAGCATGGTATCATGTGCTGCCTGCATTCTGCAGATGGGGTTTCGCTTGTTTCCATGGACCGGTTTCTGGCATGCCGGTCATGGACCCAGGGTTGGGGTCCCCTGTTCTAAAACATCCTTTTCCCCTCTAAATTTGAAGCTCTGCAGAGCCCAAATTCATGTGATTATTGAATTGCCAAAGTAGTTATACATCTCATATAAATTTGACCGTGTTCTATGTCAAACTTTAAAAGGGTTGTCAGATCTTCACTTCCAGTTTAGTAACATATATAAAGTAAAAGAAAAAAGGAAGTGATTTATGCTGGGAAAATACTTTATGCTATAGCCGAATCAATACCTGAGGGTAATTTCCCATAGAGAACTGAGATGTTAGCCTTCCTACGTGCACATCTAAGACATGGCTGAGAGGTGGACTCTGTTGCTACTTTCAATTCATTCAAGATAATGATTATTGGCAGCTTTTAAAGCAAAGGAAAGTTGAAGTAAAATGATAAGCATAGCAGCTGATTCACTTAGCCACTGCTTCGCTTAACAATCAAGTTGCTAATCCCATTTATGGTCACTGAATAAGGACTACCTTACCTGCAGTTTAAGACAATACAGACTAAGTTGCTATGGGGGCTCAAATAGGCTTATAATGCTTCATGTAAATACTTTTCAGAGATTTAGACACATTGTTGAGTTATTACTTTGTCCATTTTACCTGTACATCCCCCTCCTTTTGACTTTTTCAGCCCTTATGTACAGTAGCTAAATGGCTAAAAAGAGTTAAGTTTCTGATCAAATCAGATTTAGAATTACTAGTAGAAAGAATGCAGTATAACTGTCTTCTAGTAATATTTCTTATCCAACAGCAGTAAGTTAAGCCTTGAACTTTTGGGGCATCCTAGTGACTGGTGCCAATATTGTTATGGCTGCTAATGCAGAACACACTTCAATATGATAACACATACCTAATGAATGTGCATATTTGCAATTATTCTTATTTCTTCAGGTAAAATAGTAACTTTGCTGTCATCTTTACCACCTAGCCCTTGCTGGAAGAATTTTCTATTTTTTAAAGAAAAGCTCAGGACAACATCTGGCTAATTTGGCCTATGTTGTGAAGTAACGCAGCTTCAGACTTCATTAATATTAGGATGGGAAGACATCAGGAATTCTAACACTGGGCTACAGTCAGAAGTTGGAAAACTTGAGCAGACCACATTTATTTATTTATTTATTTATTTATTTATTTATTTATTTATTTATTTTATTGGTTCGATTTATATGCCGCCCTTTTCCGGAGACTCAGGGCGGCTTACAATGCGTTAAGCAATAGCCTTCATACTTTTGTATATACCTGCTTAGTAGGGCTTTCGGACCCCCTCTAAGCGGTGTTCTTTTTTATACAAAGTCAGCTTATTGCCCCCACAAACCGGGTCCTCATTTTACCTACCTCGAAAGGATGGAAGGCTGAGTCAACCTTGAGCCTGGTGAGATTTGAACTTGCAGTAATTGCAGGCAGCTGGTGTTACTTAACAGTGCTTTAGTCTGCTGTGCCACCAAGGCTCTTGGTGGCGCAGCAACATCTGGATTATTGAAAAGAAAATAGAATTCTTAGGTTCATACATTCGCAGGCTGAGTTGAGGTGAAACAAGAATAGAAATTTTAATTTGTTTAAATGGATGCTGGATATGTCCATTCAGGATTATGGGTTCTGTGGTGGAATTTATAGCCAGACAAGAGGGGCAATGTAAAAAGGCAATCTAGCTTGGAGTTGCTCCATGGGAGGAAGTGACAGAGGCCAGACGCTTGAAGCCTTTATCTGCCTGTTCCCAAAAGAATGCAGTTAGCCTGGTGAGATTCTTGTAAATAGAAGAATAACAATAAAGAAACTACTTTGGCCTATTCACTAAGTTGTTCTGGTTCTTTGCACCTGACATGTTCTTATTAGCAGTGCTAATATTACTATTAATTTCTGTAAACCTAGAACTCCTGACAAACGTTCCAGGGGCTGTGGAGAGTAGAAATCTCTTTGAAATAGGTAGCTAGTGTCTCAGTTCCAATTCTGGAACTATTTTGCCCTTACAGTTAAGAGCGTTACATCATTTGTCCGTATCTTGCACAAAATGACTGAGATTCTTTTTGGAGACTGGCAGAGATATTTTCAAAATTGAAAAGGATTTCCAAACAAAAAAATACATCCCCTATGTCAGAATGGAAGGTGGGGGTACAAAAAGTCAAGATGGCAGCTGTGACCACATAATCAAAGCTATACTCCTTTACGTGATTGATTGCACATGGTACCACAACATTAGCTATTTTCACCATCACCCCACATTAGCCCACCCTCTTGTTCCATTCGATTCTGCTGGGAAAGGGATTAACAATTTCTCTTATGAAACAATGCTACCAATATCAAGCTATTTGTCATCCCTGCCACTTTGGTCACATTAGTTTCCCTTGTTCATCATGCTTTACACAATTTACAATACAAATTCGGTTTTTTAAGGAAGCATGTTTTAGGAACAGTGCCATTACTTTTATGCAAATAGATGAGATGGGGGGAAAAAAAGGAAGGTTCTGCTTAAATTTTGTATATTTGTCAGATTTGAATATGTAGCAAAATATTAGTTTAATAATTTACATTATGATATTTATTACTTAATAATAAAGAATGCATTTTTTTATTTCCTGAAATTTGAGGGAGATACAGAAAGGCTCCATTCCCTGTCCAGCAGCTATTTATTTTGAATTATGTATTTAGTGCATGATTTAATCTGTTTCAAACAACAGCCGCAGAAAGAAGATAGAGGATGTATGTTATTTTATGCAATGTCAAATACAAATGAATAGAGAATGTTAAGTTCAGCAACAGAAATGAGAGCATGAATATCCAGATTCAGATCTCTTTCACCCAGTGGTGGGTTGCCTCTGGTTCGCACCGGTTCTATAGACCCGGTAGTAAAAGCGGCAGGAGGCTCCGCCCACTGACCCCGACATCATCAAAATGCTTCTGTGCATGCGCAGAAGCTTCTGTGCTTGCGCGGCCCCACTGGAAACCGGTAGTAAAGGTTAGTAGAACCCACCCCTGCTTTCACCCCCTATTAAACCATAATGCAGTTTATTTGTTTATCTGAGGATAAATCAGTCTTGACTCCTAGCAACTGTCTCGATAAGGCCCTGTAGTTTTCTTGGCAAGATTTTCAGAAACAGTTCGCTATTGCCTGCCTGCTAGTGCTAACAATATGTGAATGGCCCAAGATCACCCAGCTGGCTTTGTGCTTAAGTCATGACTAGAACTCATGGTCTCCTGGTTTCTAGCCTGGTACGCTACACCGAACTATCTCTTTTTTTTCTTTTATTTTATATTAAACAAATGTACAGATTGTGGTAGCATACACTTAATGTTATTTGTGCAATGCTATTTGTGTTCTGCTGTTTTTCTAGAAGCTCAAGGCAGCAAAAAGAGGAGTCTGCTCAAGATCCTCACATCTATCACCCTTAAGACAGCCTCAAAAAATGTCATGCTTGCAGGACTCAATCTGGGTCCATTACTGGAACCAGAGGTTTAGTCCAGAGGTCTTCAAACTTGGCAGCTTTAAGACTTGTGGACTTCAGCTAGGCTGGCTGGAGAATTTTGGGAGTTGAAGTCCACAAGTCTTAAAGCTGCCAAATTTGAAGACCTCTGGTTTAGCCTTTCGAGCTTTTGGACTCATGCTGGAGCCCATCCTCAGAGAACTTCTCTCTACCGGAATGTGTGTGGCGCATTCTGGTAGTGAGAAGTTCTCTGAGGATGGCTCTAACACAAGCCCGAAAGCTTGGGAAACTAAACCTCTTGTTCCTGTGACTGATCCAGATTGGGTCCTGCAACATTATCATGGGACACACATATATGCCTTCATTTGTCAAAAGTCGCAGTGATTCAGTATTGACTTTGCCTTCATGGAAATAATTTACTACAATTGATATCTCCTTTATGCTTGGTTTAGGCTAAAGTGTATTGAGTGATGGCTTTAGAAGTAAATGACATTGAATTTCGTGCGAAATGGACAGCAGGATTGCAATGTCACATAACGTTTGATTTCTCATAGTAGTAAGTAATATAGAAAAAAGATTCCTCTTCTGTATACTTCAAAAAACTTGAAACAAAAGATCACAGCATGGACTCTTGTACTTTAATCGTTCTAGTGCAGATAAAGATTTTGGAGATATGATCTTATCAAGAAGCGTAAGAAAAGCTGTTGATCGCACTGCTCACTATTCAAGGTACAGGAAGCTGGTCTTCTCTTGCTATTGCACTTGGCAGCATTTTTAGTATTTAACGCTTACTTCCTACACTTAGAAATAAGAACGTTGTGTACAGAAGGAGAGAATGGAGTTCCAATCCTCTAAAGATGATAAATAATTACCTTTTCTTTTGAAAAAGCATAATAAAACATTAAACTGGCAGCAGTTAAGATAACTGGGAACCAGTGTAGATGTAACAACATTTACTTCTTGTCATCCAAGGTAAATGTGATTCATGCTGAAGTCAACTGCTATTCCCACTTCTGTTCCGTTGCGCATAGTTTAGAATAAATTAAAGTTTAATGTGGATGATGCTATTTTTTTAAAAGTATGACAAACCACACAAAGTTAAAAACAGCTCAAAATTCACAAAAGCCATTCCTCATTTTGCACTTCTCTCTAACAATATGCAACATGCAGAGATAAACACATTAACCTGCAGTCTTGAAGGGTTAAACCAGTGGTGGGTTCCTCTTGGTTCGGCCTGATTCTGCTGAGCTGATAGTGGTGACGATATGATGTCACCAGACCGGTTCTGCCCCCTGCCCCCCCGCGTTATTCTTATCTTTTATTTGGCCCCACCCCCAATCTATTGCTGCCTCCTGAGTCCCAGCTAATGGGCTATAAAGAAAAAAAATGTTTAAACTCTTGCTGCGGGGCTTCAAAGGGCCGCCCTACAGCTGATCAGTGGTAAAAGGCAGTTTGGTGGTAGACCAGTGCCTCCAAAAACAAATGAATAGACCAGAGCCTGCAAAAATATATGAGTAGACCAGTGCCTGCAAAAATAAATGAGTAGACCAGTGCCTGCAAAAATAAATGAGTAGATCAGTGCCTGCAAAAATAAATGGGTAGACCAGTACAGCTCTGCAAGCAGTTAAAAGCCTGGTAGACCAGTACCTCTGCTAAATCCTAAAGAATTGTCACATGACCATCAAGCTACGCCCACAAAATAAGCCACGCCCACAGAACTGGTAGTAAAAAATTTTAGAACCCACCCCTGGGCTAAACTATATACTATTAGGGACTTCACTTTGAGTGGAGATTGCCATCTCTTTCTTTCTCTTTCCATCTCAGAAAGCAACTGTAGAAAACATTGATTTGGATGGGGGGTGGGGGCCTGTCAGCCCAAAGGACAGAACTTAAGGGTTTGCCCCAAAGTTAACATGGCAGAGAAAATATGCTAACAAACTCACCAAATCCTGGTGACTGCTGGGACAAGTCCCGCCATTTTCTTGTCAAGATTTTTGGATGTTTTGCCATTGCTTTTTTCCTAGGGTTACCCAAGGACATCTGTCTGGCTTTGTGCCTAAGACAGGACTAAAATTCCAGTCTCCCGGTGTCTATCTTGATGCCTTAACTACTACACCAAACTGTTTTTAGTCTCTATTTTCTAATACTGTGTAAAGAATAGAATTAATGACAAGTATGCCGAGAGCCCATAAAATTTCTCAGACTTTGTCCTCTAACTGTATATTGGGGTAGATAATAACATAATAAAGAGTACGAAAAATAATATGCTCTCTTCTATAAAAGCACCAATTTAGTATGGATGTATACTAAGTGGAAGCAAATACAGTATCTATTTCAGAATCATGGTACAATAGTGAGAATCTTTGGTTGCGGTAATCACATCAGGTTTGTTCCTTGGCATAAGAAGTTATATACATAGTAGAGCAGGTTTACATATTATAACTTCCAATTCAACAAAGGGCATCCATATGGTACACAACCTTTGTAAGGTTGTTTAACATTTTAATCTCTCTCTCTCCCTCCCTTCCTCCCAATCTCCCTCTCCCCCTCTCCCCTCCCTGTCTCTAACTAGTTAGTTAACTAGCTATTTTAGTTAGGTAGCTATGTACCTCATCTGTCTGTCATCTCTAAACAACAGTGACCTCAAATCTTTTCCCCCACAGTTATGCACTAGAAACCAGTATGGAATCTTGAATGTATACATTTCTATCTCTACCATGACATATTTAAAGAATGATCATTCTTTTCTCTGTCTCTTATGCACAGATGTCTAGAGCTCATGCAGATGCATTCAAAGCCCATTTGGCCCAAAGGTGATGATTTAATGTGAGTACAGATGCTGCATTATTGATCTTTAAACCTAAGGGTTATGTATTTGTTGCACATTTATTGAACAAACATTATAAAAGAGACTAAATAACTAATGGATAAAAAGGCCTGAATTAATTTGTTGGGCAGAGAATAGCACTGAAAAGAATACCCAAAGGTCCTAAATTCAGGGCACCAGTAGAAGCACACAGCACCAATCTTTCATTGTCTGCTTGCTAGTTTCTGCAGTTGGTAAGAGCCTGCAAAATCAATACTTAGGCACGTAGGAAATTACCTTTCACTGAATCAAACTTTTGGTACATATGGTCCTTCCCAAAATCACTAAATTGTAAATGTTACAGTGATAGAAAAAAAGTAGAAATAATGACATACATGGGGAATAAACACATGGTATGAATGCCATTTATTTGACAGTATTGTTTCTTCCCTGCTCGGCCCAATTTTTAATTTTGATCATTCCTATTTTTTGGGACTGTGACCTTCTACTCTTCTACCACTCAAAGACCAAAAGCAACCCACTTAATGTAATGGCAGATCTTAAGGGGGTTCCAAGAGAGGTTTCCCCAAGTTTTATCTGGAGATTGCAGATCTTAAAATGTTCTGCATGCAAAGCAAATAACTGGCTAAGTATTAAACTTAACAGGTTCCAGGACATGCCTTACTTTCTCTGAAACTAGCATTACTAACTAATCCACCAGCTAACAAACCAGTTAAACAGCTTAGTAATTAAGGCAAATTGCAACTGACCACCTAGGATATTTTGAGTATGACTCCCCCCACCTCCCCAGAGACATTTTTTTAAAAAAATTTGATTTATATGCCACCCTTCTCCGGAGACTCAGGGCGGCTTACAATGTGCTAAGCAATATTTTGCCATTGAATACTGAGTTTTAACTGATGGGGTAAGACAAAGTATCAAGTGCTTGCTAATAGCCATATGAACTATATTTAATTAACTTAATTGCAATTGACATTTAATTCAATCAAATGGCATTTGGGCATTTTGTTTAGGACTGCCACACCCTTTCCACCATGTCCCTAGGATAGTAGTCAGAGCCTAAGAGTGGTTCTTGACCCAAAAGGAATATACAGTATGGATTTAGGAGCAGAGTGGTGGCCTAAACAGTTATTTCCAATTCTATTATCTTAATGAACAGGAAGTTGAGCATGTATGAACTCTTTTGACATTGAAAAGCATGTCTAAATGCTGCCATTGTGGAACAGCAGAAGTAGCCCTTATCAACCATGGCTCATTCTCATTTTTAATGAAGAGTTCACCAAATCCTTTTATGTGGGGTTACATGGTACATCGAGTAGCTATAATAAACAACTGCATAAAGTTGACCAGATTTTTCATTTAAAAAACCACAAAAACTGACAAATGACAGAACCCAGGTTTCTGGCCTAGAAGAATAAACCTGGGGCTAAAAAGAGAAAGCAAACAAAACAGGATAGAACACCATATTTTGTGTTAAACTGTTATTTAAGAGTTTCCACTCAGTTACACGTCATATCAAATAACAGCACGCAGGAAAAGGATTGATTTTTAAAAATGTTATTTATTATTTGAAGGAAGCTAGATCATCCAGGAGAACTTCAGTGCAATGAAGAAAGAGGACACATATTGCAAGATGGATAATGTACAAACCTTTTCCTTTGCTCATTGCTTGGATCCTATTGTAAATGCCAATATAGCTTCGCCCCTCAGTGAGGGATTCAGGACACAGCTTGCCCAATTTCGATACAGCCCTCCCACAGACTTAGAAAACTTCAAAAGTTCTTTTGAAGGGGGATCTCGTAAACGTAAAAGTATGCCAATGAAAGTACCTTCCACTGTCTCTCCAGGAGATCCCACATCTCCATTGGAGAACCCTGAAGAAAATGTTGATGGAGGTTCTCCCAGCCTCCCTTCAATATTTCAGCATGAATCCACACAGCCAAAGTACAATGCTCACATGATCGACCTCTGCAACCTTGGCTATCACTTTTACAGGACTCTGGAGCACTTTGGGACACAGCCCATCAAAGAAGAACCAATAAAACCCAAGGTTCTATGGCCTGGCCCCACTGCTTTTCTGCAGGCTCCCTATTCATACTATCCCAAAATTCATCCTACTTTAATGTTTCCTTTTATGATGCCCCCAGATTTGCATTTTAGAAATCCTTTCCCATTGAAAAGGCCCCCGGAGCCTCCCTTCAAAAAGGTTGAGTTAAATGAGCAAGCTGAACAAAAGCAAAAGGTGGAAAGAGTCGATGTCAATATTCAGATTGATGACAGCTATTACATTGATGTAGGAGGAGAGCAGAAACGTTGGCAGTGCCCTATGTGTGACAAGTCTTACACATCCAAATACAACTTGGTCACTCACATCTTGGGGCACAGTGGCATCAAGCCCCATGCTTGCTCCCGGTGTGGGAAGCTTTTCAAGCAGCTGAGTCATCTGCACACCCATATGCTGACTCATCAAGGCACTCGACCTCATAAGTGCCAAGTGTGTCACAAGGCCTTCACCCAAACTAGCCACCTAAAGAGACACATGATGCAGCACAGTGACATTAAACCTTACAGCTGCAGAATTTGTGGAAAGGGTTTTGCCTATCCCAGTGAATTGAAAGCTCATGAATCCAAGCATGAGAGCGGCAGAGAAAATATCTGCATTGAGTGTGGCCTTGACTTCCCAACTTTGTCTCAACTGAAGAGGCACCTAACCACCCACCGAGGTCCTGTTCAATACACTTGCACCGAGTGTGACAAGATATTCCAGTACCCAAGTCAGCTGCAGAATCACATGATGAAGCACAAGGATATTCGCCCATATATTTGCACTGAATGTGGCATGGAATTTGTGCAGCCACATCACCTGAAGCAGCATTCCTTGACTCATAAGGTAAGCTAATGCCAGGGATTCTCCAATAGTTGTGCTGGGGGAGGGGGCAGGATGCTTTTTTGACAACCTGCTAAAATGCAAATATTTTTAAGCACTTCTAAACTGAAAGTAACAGAGAAGTCAATTCCAGATTACTACCATGTTTACTTCTCCCTTAACCTCAGAAACACTTTCAATCTCTGTAGCAATGATCCTCACTGCAACCAGTCTTGAAATTTCAAGAACACCATATTTGCTGCCACTGCTGTCCAATAGATGTCCACAAGTTGACATCTGGCCAGTATCATCCTCTGTCTTTATATGCCAGACCACTTATTTGACAATTTTTTTGAAACACCTGACTGTACTTTTAATTGTTTCATGAAAGAGAAGCCACCTAAACTCAAAAAACCCCCAAGCCACAGCACAACATCACAGCAACATGCCCACTATGGGGAAGGAAGAGAGTGAAGGAGCTCAAAGGTAGATAAAATAAGAGTTCCCTTAAAGGGAAGACATCTGACCCCAAATTCCAAGGTTTGCAAAGATAGATTCCTTTTTCACTGTGGTTGAGCCATAGTGAATCTCAGCTATCCAACAGGAGAAATGATCTGGATCACAAACACAGCCAATCCAGGTGTGGCATAAATATCACATGTGGAAGACACTTGAGGCTACAACTTTGCCCACTTTTCTGGTAGGAAGCCTCACAGAACCCAAAAGATCTGAGCATGTCTCATTAGATCCAGCAGAGAGGACATGCTTCGCAAGTTCCATTTGCAAAGACCATGAGCTCAAGTTCTGCCTTGGCCATGAAAACCAGCTGTGTGATCTTGAGCCAGTCACTCTCTTTTAGCCCATCTCACCTCACAGGGGTTTTGTGAGAAAAATAGAAAGAGGGTGTGTTGCATATGTTTTCTCCCTTGAGTTATTTGTAAAAATAATAAAGGTGGGATATAAATACATAAAATAATAAATGACCTACTTTTGATAGGTGTCAGGATGTGGACCTTCTCTGCCTTATAGAACATTCTCCCTCCTGAAGCTAGGTTAGCTCCATCCCTATTAATGTTCAGAAAGTCCCTCAAGACCTAATTTTGTCACTAGGCTTGGGAGGACCTGACAACTGGCAACATTTTAAAGTGGCTCTCCTATTATGGGTGATATATAGTGTCTATACTTCTTTCTTTCTCTCTGGTTTGTATACTGTAATTTTAAAATATTTTTTATAATGATTGTCTATATTTTTATAATAATTGCTTTTATCTTTTGGATTTATTTGATAGTTGTACACTGCCCAAGGTCACATCTGGGAGAGAGAGGGGGAGGGGGGGAGGGAGGGAAAGAGGGAAAGAGGGAGAGGGGGAGAAGGAGGGAGGGAGGGAGAGAGAAGAAAACAATATTTTAAAAATTATAGCTCTGACCACCAGAAGTGAGTCTATTTGTATAGTACTTCCTATTGGTGATCCTGTGAATTAAAACAACAATAATTATTTGAGAGTATCAGGCATAGGATATGATAATATTCCAAATGTGTTCTGTAATAATTGAATTAAAATAAATATTCATTATAGAAACAGGTAATTGTGAGTGATAATTAAATTGCTCCTCTTTTTGGTTTATAGAATAATTTTAAAGTAGAATTGATGGATTCATGTGAAAAAAGTACGAAAGCTTAGGGACAATAATATAATAATTCTCATTAGTCAGTATTATTTTCTAACTCTAGAAAATACTTTTGAGCCAAAGTAAAAACTTTATTTCTTTATATCATATCCTTTGCACTCATAATAATAATAATAGCAAACAAAAACGAGCAGAATTTGAGCTATTTTAGCACAAAGATATGTGACATTTGTCAGTACTGTGGGAAGCTTTATACTTTATTCCTTACACTGTCTCCATTTTCCCTTAAACATTAGCAGAATTCATGTTACTGGGAATCAGCGTCTCCGCTGGATAATTGATAGTCAAGCTGAAACTAATCAGCTTGTAAAAATAGCAAATGGGGGAAAATCTTTTACTCAGACTTCCTTAAACCCCCATATAAGTTATCCAGACCTAATCCACATATCAAAGGAGAAAGTCTGTAAACACAGAGTTAATTAAAATGGTCTCCCTGAGGAACTGCATGTTCACAAGAATAAACATCATACATGACATGTACCTTACACACACCCACATCTGTCAAATGTCACTTTAGAATCAGCATGTACACACCCAGAACAAGCTCCCCAATAAAACAGCTCTTCTGTTTTCTGCAGCTTCCCCCATAGGCAAACCTCTTTGCTTTTGGGAATAAATAATTCTCTTTCCTCACAGTTTTTGGAATTTTATTTTTATTTATTCTTTTGGCAACCCCAGTTTAAGCTGAAACCCCACATTATTCTTTTGAGAACACTCTACTTATTTATTTAATATGTTTATTTTTCAGAAACTAAAAAAAAAAAAAACCAGCCAGCATAATAGATAGCAGTCTTTCCTGATCTGCCCTCCATAGTTGAATTACAACTCCCAACATCCCTAGCCAATCAGGCATAGTTGCTTTACGTGTACAGGTTTATGTGGTTTAAATTTCTTAAAGGTACCAAGTTTAGAAAAGCTGTTCCACGGATATATAAAAATCATTAAAGTCTTGATTTCAAATTAAGACTGGGCAGCCCTTTGGATGCATTTCCTAAACAATGCTTCAGGGTACACAGGACACCAAATACTACCACCAGAACTAGAAACATGTTAATAAGAAGTCATGCAAAAGAAGCAACATCTTGATATATGTAACGAAGTGAGTTATTAAAAAGTTGAAATTAGCACATCATTGGCTGGAGTAGACATATTTCTTAGCCGTTGTCCCCCACAAGGTATTATTATTGCAAACTAAAGGACAATCATGATCACAGAACTGAAATAAAAAGCAACCTCAATAAAAACCAAGATCAAATTTAAAATAGAAAAAAGAAAAAAGGGGGTTAGGAATCATCACTTACTTCATTCTTATGTTTTTCAAGGGTGTGAAAGAGCACAAGTGTGGAATCTGTGGCCGGGAGTTTACGCTACTTGCCAATATGAAAAGACATGTCTTAATTCACACCAATATCAGAGCCTACCAATGCCACCTCTGCTTTAAAAGTTTTGTGCAGAAACAAACTCTCAAAGCCCATATGATTGTCCATTCAGATGTCAAACCTTTCAAATGTAAGGTGAGTATTTCTTACCCTAGGTACATAGTCAAATGAACATAAACATTATCAGACTATTTTTTTTTAAGTCACTGGTGGAGAAGGAGCTGAGACATTCATTATAAGTTGCACGATGAACAACAAAGACAATTTGTCATAAATAGTATTATGTCTGTGGCTAGCTGACATTGGCACTAATAGATATATGTAAATATCGATATTATTGAATTCAGAGCACATGGATTATTTAATAAGACCTCAAAATAGCTCTTTTCATACATCATCATACAAACCAGTATGATTCATTTTCATGATGCTCCATATCTGCTTTCCTATGCTTGCTGGTAAGTTTGACCCTTCTTTACTTTTAAAAGAAAGGAAATAAATTCATGTTTAAGAAAATTAGAGTGCAAATACTTTGTTGAGCAGTATCACAACAGCATTTGTTTCCAATAATTCCCAAGATGCGTTAAATCTAACCAATAAGTCCTCCACTTTAGTATGAATGTGGAGTTTACAGGAACCACTGTACTTTCAACCAACCATTGTTCAGAGAAAGCTAAAAAAGCTAGACAGTCATTGTTCACTTTTTGTCCATGCCCGAGCATCCTCCCTTCTCAACCACTTCCAGCACGCCAATCAACAAACAGCCCCTCCCTCTTTTTCACAAAAATGAAAACAAATATGCATTTGGTATATTACAGTGATATTATTCTAGCAAGCCCTGAAAAATGCTTTGTCCAAGAAAGTCCTGGTTATGGATCAAGTCATAAAAGCTGCATTTGAAATCCCAAAGGTGCTTTTTCAAGTGGCAACTGAACTTTCTGGGGTTTTTTTTGAAGACGTTTCAAAGAAAAACCAGAAAGTCCAGTTGCCGCTTGAAAAAGCACCTTTGGGGCAACCCTGACCTGGATGACTGAGAATCTCCATAGACATTTAGCGATACACTGCATTTGAAATCTTTTCCCAAAATGGATTTACTAAAACAGAATTAGATTTATCTGTAGATGACATAAAAAAGCTTCCTCCCCCCCCCCAGCACCGTGGAAATAGAACTACGGTAGGTAGCAAATCATTGCTGGTTTGCTGTTAACATTGTGTGACAGGATAGAGATCTATAAAGCAACAGAAGCAGGAGAAAATCAGTGCAATGCTTCTCAACTTTAGCAACTATAAGACTTCAACTTCCAGAATTCCCCATCCAGCATGGGAGTTTTCTTCAAAAGAGACATCAATGGATCTTAAGCTAACATATTTATGAACTTTCTTCAATATCACCTGGTATGAGTGATCTTTAAGGTAGTATTTAAAAGAAACAAATCTGAGCAATTTCTCACATCAAGAGGTTGGGAGCAGAAGCAGAACTACTATTTTACTAATAACAAAATAAGTACTTATACCAGACCAGGGTGATCTACTTGTTATGATTGTTGTCATTCAGTGCCAATCCACAACTAAGGCTCAATAGAACAATCAGTGGTTTCTTTGGGGCATTTGATGAAGTTGCAAACAGCTGCCATGCATAATTTGCCAGGTAAAGCCCCACTCCTATCTGGACTGTGGCCTGACATTCAAATCTACAATACAAGAAATGAAACCTACATAGACATGGGCCTATAAAATGGTTATACTATTAATTTGGATTTCCAAATGATATTCATTTCTGGAATACATAGGCAAAGAGAAAGATTATATGCTACTTAGCATGATTAATAGATATGTTAATCTGTTATGTAGTTCAGGGGTCTCCAACCTTGGCAACTTTAAGACTTGTGGACTTCAACAAAGCTGGCTGAGGAACTCTGGGAGTTGAAGTCCACAAGTCTTAAAAGTTGCCAAAGTTGGAAACCCCTGATAATTGTTCATTTCCCCCCTTTTCTGGGCATGGGATACTTGGACTGACAAAATAGTGCCAAAATTTCATTGTGTCATTCTTTGACTCTTCAGTTGCTGTACTAAATCAGCTTTATCCACTCTTGTGCAGTGTTGGGTTTGCTGTTCCCAGAATTCTAAGCGTTAAGGCCATGCTTGCTAGGTATTCTGGGAGCTACAGTTACAATATATTTATCAGATATCAAATAGGAGAACACGGACTGAAATGAAGAAGCATTAAAACTGGAATGTAGACTTTGTCTTCGAATTTGGTTTTATTCTTCATCTTGAGATTGCATTTTGTAGCACTTAGTGTAATTGCTAGTCTGCTGATGATAAATATATCTGACATTTGTATTGTACATTTCATTCCAAAGGGAGGTCAAGGATATTTAACAATTTGATATACTGGCTAAACACATGAATCAGTCTGTGCGTGTTGCCTTTTTTATCAATACAAAATATCAATTATGCCTATACCTAAAGACAGAAGATATATTAGAAACACCAGAGGACACAATGTCACATTTTAAGTAGGATAATATTAATTGAATTCCAGCATAACTCGCATAACCGTGTCAAAATGACTCTACTGAAAATGCCATTAACTTTTCAAGGAAATAGCTGAACCTTCTGGCAAGCTGCAGAAGAATACAGTCAGTGGGTACTATCTCTGTCTTCATCTTTCATCATCAGCACCCTCTTGGATGGCAGCTGTTTCTAAAGTCCTCCAGTGCCCCCGAATCCCCTATTTATTGAACGAGACAAAATTTCCTTTTACCTTAACTGAGTTCAGGTTAGAATTGCTTTACCTTTTCTTGCCCTTGTGGCCATGTGCCCAGGATGAGCACATGGCTGCAAGAAGAAGTAAATATGAACTAGGGCATTGGTGACTCACTTTCATCATTTCTCTCCCTCAGGAAAAGGGGAAATACATTGCAGGAATGGAATTCTCATTAGGCTTTTGTGAGCAGGCCATACTTTGTCATATGAAGCCATCTTTGGCTCCAGAGACAACACTATTTCAATGCCAACAATCATCTTGTTGCTTCATTTCTGTCTTCTCCCCAGTCTCGTCTGTTGACGGGAGGCCTCTGGTTTGTTCCTGGAGGTCCTGAAAATGCTTTCTGGATGAGCCTTTTTAAACTGGACTTGCTTTGGGAGGCCCCAGAAGTGAAGTGAAGAAGAGCAAAGCAGAACAAAGCAAACTTTAGTGGAGTTTTCTAGCGTGGTAGCTTTGACAGGTATATTTACTAATTCAAAACAGTGGGCTGTTTTGTGTAGCAAAGTGGGCTCACTCAAAAATGATAGATATGTGACAATTTAATTGTGTAAATACTGCAATTATATATTTGTGTCATTGATATGATTATCATCATGAATGCATCATTTGCCCCTCATCCATACTGGTGCTCTAAAGACACCCATTACTTATAGTCCTGTCAAAACAAATCACTCTGGCCTGGTGGCTCAGCAGACTGATAGCATTGTGATTAACACCAGCTGTCTGCAATTACTGTAAATTCGAATCTCTCCAAGGCTCAAGGTTGACTCAGCCTTCCATCCTTTCTAAGGTAGGTAAATTGAGGACCCAGTTTGTGGGGGCAATAAGCTGACTTTGTATAAATATACAAAAGTATGAAGGCTATTGCTTAACGCATTGTAAGCCTCCCTGAGTCTCCGGAGAAGGGCGGCATATAAATCAATTTTTTTTAAAAAAAAAAAACTCTTTTAAGTTTTACATAGGGAATTCAGGCAATAGAATGAATTACACTTATCATATCATATCGATTCTTATCTAGAACATCCTCAATCCTGGATTTGGACTAATGTTTTTAAAAGTATAATTCTATCACTTTAAAAACAATATTCTTTTTATTACTTCTTATGCAAGGTACTTATATCCTTGTGGATCATGCATTGGCTATCTGTGCAGGAGGGAAGAGGGCGATGCGCAATGACTCAGTAGTTAAGATACTGGGTTTGTTGACCGGAAAGTTGACAGTCCAGGTTTGAGCACTGAGCGACAGGGTGAGCTCCCATTATGCACCAGCTCCTGCCCACCTAGTAGTTTGAAAGCATATGCATATGCAAGTAGGTACCACTTTGGTGAGAGGGTAACAGCGTTCCGTGCATCTTGACATATAGTCATGCTAGTCACGTGACCATGGAAGTGTCTTTGGACAACCCTGGCTCCCTCAGCTAAAAAATGGAGATGAGGACCGCCCCCTAGAGTCAAACACAACTGGACCTTTACTTTTTTGCAGGAGGGAAAAAAAGCATAGAATCAGCCATCTGATCTTTGTTGCACTGAATGGTCAGATGGAGAGAAACTAAGATAGTCGATAGAGGGAAGGAAATCCAATGGACTGATTTTAAACCCTGACAGTTTTGTTCCTGAAGGGTTTCAACAGGCAGAGGCTGTTGGAGAAGGGGATCAGCCTGCTTGCAAGTTCAGGAGAACCCTGGAGAATTGGTGCTGTTTGGCTGGCCTTCAGCAAGTTCAGGCAGTGACCAGATAGCCGCTTTTTGGCACCATGCTCCTCCTGAACAGAAGGAAGGATATCGCTGTATGAGCTGCTTGCTTAACAATGGCTTGCATGTCCCTAGGGAATGGCCTGCAAATAGATTTCATCTTGCTTTCTCTTGTACTTTTCGGAGCTTCCTGTTTTCTCACGGCCCTTTTGGACACTTTGCAGTCTTTCTCCCTCTCCCTCTCTCTCTTACTTTCAGGAAAGGAACACCCTTCTTATTAAACTGTCTTTTAAAAAAGAAGAAAGAAAACAAGGGTAAGAGAGCACAGCAGTGGCCTTTCTACCTCTCTGCAGGCTTAGGCTTTCTTGGACTTGTTTCTCAGAGCAAAACAAAACAGACTGCTTTCCTACAGAGCTGATCACAAAGACCAGATGTGGCCTGAGGGCAGAAGAAAGACTCTGTCGCTAATATTTCCTCATTACTGGGATTTTTTCCCTCTCCAACGAGCAGTGCTATCTGCAGTATCTTATACTAATCCAGCCAGAGATTGCAATGTTTAGCTTACAAATAATTACACAAATTTTATTTCCAAGTGCACCCATGTAGTTAATGCATGAATGTACTGAAACAACTGTCCCACATCCATATCAATATACACATACACACACGCGCATCCCCCCCCACACACCTGTCCTTTGCTGTTGACTCAACTGTTGTCAAACATTTGAGATTCTTTGTTTGCTGTTTGCAAAAGGATTATAGTTCCAACCTGTTCAGACTGATGCTAGAACGAGTCTTTATTTTATAATTGCTAGAGTAATATTTTCTAAAATAGAATGCTGAATTATATTCAGCAATGTCCCTCAAAATGTACTGAACAACTTGGGACAACTTTTATAATAACCATGGTGTTTCACCATAAGCTACTAATTTGTCCAAAATGTGCCTGGGCTAGTTTCAATGGTGAAGCAAAGTGAAAACCTCATGGTTTAGCATTTAAGAAGGGCCCCAAATGACCTTTAAGAGAATGGTAAATAATCAGCAAAGCAGCAGAAAATGATGCCAATGTTCACAAAGATAGATCAAGTTATACCATGATTGATGTTGCTTGGCACAGCATTTTTCCCTTTCCTCCATTTTAAACAACATTTCATAGCAATAGGACCGATTAGAGTGGAATCGGTCCTATAGAGTTGTCTATAAGGAATAGAAAATAGAATAGAATAGAATAGAATAGAATAGAATAGAACAGAACAGAACAGAACAGAACAGAACGGAACGGAACGGAACGGAACGGAACGGAACGGAACGGAACGGAATGGAATGGAATGGAATGGAATGGAATAGAACAGAATAAACAGAGTTGGAAGGGACCTTGGAGGTCTTCTTGTCCAACCCCCTGCTTAGGCAGGAAACCTTACACCACTTCAGACAAATGGTTATCCAACATCTTCTTAAAAACCTCCAGAGTTGGAGCATTCACAACTTCTGGAGGCAAGTTGTTCCACTGATTAATTGTTCTAACTGTCAGGAAATTTCTCCTTAGTTCTAGGTTGCTTCTCTCCTTGATTAGTTTCCACCCATTGCTTCTTGTTCTACCCTCAGGTGCTTTGGAGAATAGCTTGGCTCCCTCTTCTTTGTGGCAGCCCCTGAGATATTGGAACACTGCTATCATATTTAGGATGCATAAAATTATCTAGTTGTGCATTGTTTCATTTTGCAAAATGTGTACCAATATGATAGTTGACTTTGAATTGTTCTAAAAAGAATTAAAACACTACTGTTATATTTTAAAAACAAAACTTTATTAAACATATAAAATTAAAATACTATACTATGTATATACAGGATACATATATACCTATATATATATAATGTATACATATATATACATTACATACATATATAATACTAACGACAATACATAAAAAGAAAAAGTGACTTTGGTCACACGTCCATTATCTTATTAACGGTGCATATTTGTTAATTATTAACAAACAAACAAAAAAACCCACTACTGTTATACTGACAAATGTCTGCTGATCAATTTATCTTCTATAAATTTGCCTAGTGGAACAGTCAACATATATTTGGGATCAGTGGTGAAATGTAAAATTTGTTATTACCGGTTCTGTGGGTGTGGCTTGGTGGGGTGGGGGTAATATGACTGAGTGGGCATGGCCAACTTCTTTTTTTTTCACTTTTAAAACCATTTTTTCTACAACCTCTTCAGCTCAGCTGAGCATGGGGGTGGGGAGGGATTTTTGCTACCGGTTCTCCGAACCACCCGCCGCCATCGCTACCGGATCGAGCGATCCGGTCTGAACTGGGAGCATTTCACCCCTGTTTGGGATGGAATAAAACAAGCCTTTAAAATGACAGAATTGCTCTGTCATGCCAGCAAGTTTAGTGTGGTTTTCTATTTAAAATGTCTCAAAAGTTAACAAGCAATCAATTCATATGAAGTATACAGCTTTTGTGTGAACTACTCTCAGAATATTCCAACAGAAAAAGCCAAAATGAGTTTCAGTGGCCAACTTTCCTCACTGAGCTAGACTGCTTAATATGAAAATAGTTTTTCTCCCTTCCCTTTCTCCCTTCCCAGTAAATCCAAACGTTTGTTAGAGAGAACAAAGAGTCCATTAAATATTAGCTGGAAAGAAACGCGAGCAAATCAAAGATTAAATAAGAAACAGAAACATGCTTGAAGAGGAAATACAGAACTTCCTCTTCATCTGTTTAGTTTTCCTGTAGCATTCCATGCATTTTCCCTTAAACAATAGGAATCCCAATTGTAAACACACACCATCTCTTAGAATGGTTAGCCCCCAATCTGACACATTCAGATACATTGCATTCCCATCACACCAGGGAATGGCAACTGGGCTGGTTAGAAGTGACAGTCCATTCAACCTTGAAAGAACAACTTCCAAGAAAGTTGTTTTTGAATGAGAGCAATCTGAGTTTCTGAATAAGCTTGTACAATTTCTCAAATAGGCCTAAGACAATTCAGAAACTACTCTGCAATAAATTGAGTTTGTCCTTATATTTACCACAGCCAGCCTCTGATATAAATACTTACCTGCTATACTTATATTTTTAGGCTATAATTTTGTTTCCAGCTCAAAGAACATTCAGTAATTTCAAAGCCTCCTATTCTATCCATTTTAGCGAGTACAATATTAAATTTGAATGAATGAAAGAGAAGCATATACAATTTAGTTATAAAGACATTCCTTTTCCTTGAAGTCCTATCTATTTGTGATGGTTGAGTTTCATTCATTTTAGAATGAAATTAAGTGATTCCCCCCCCAAAAAATTTTGGATCTATATCCTATAGTCAACACTTAGATTCATATCTCAGACTTCAATGTGTCCTTTCTGACACATTGCAAATATATATATATATATATATTTTGGGATAATTTCTGTCAAGTCTCTCAGGCACCAATTCAAGGACATAATTTTTGAATAATTCATTTTATTTCCAGAACTAGAAAAGCCTAATCTGACAATTTAGAGAGTTGTTCATTTTTTGATTGAGTTTAAAAGGAGGCAATAGAAGAAATGTTGTAGGTTTATGATTCAGAAAGGAAAACTAAAGAACTGTAGAGAAGTTGACTTGATGTAAACAGGCTAGATCTGAAAAAACAAAACAAAATCTCTTTGAAAAAAAGATGCCTCACTTTGATTCTCATTGGTCTTTTGACAGCTGTGTGGAAAAGAATTTAATCGAATGCATAATTTAATGGGCCACATGCACTTGCATTCTGACAGCAAACCATTCAAATGCCTCTACTGTCCCAGCAAATTCACCTTGAAGGGGAACCTCACCAGACATATGAAAGTCAAACATGGAGTCATGGAAAGAGGATTTCGTTCTCAAGGTAAAAACTGGTAACTAGGCTTATTTACATTACATCTCATAATATAATGACATTGTTTTGCATCTAGAAGTTGCTGAATTTGTTTTGTGTAGCACAATTAGAATCATGTTTTTAGTTGAACCAGATTTTGCCAAATAAGAAGAGGCTCTATGGTGGGTGTCAAACTCACATCGTCACATTGTCGTCATGTGACATATTGCGACTTCCCCCCTTCGCTAAAATGGGAATGGGTGTGGCCAGCACGTGATGCATCTGGCCTGGATGACACCCCTGCTCTATGGGGTAGCAAAGTCCAAAGTGGGAAGGTAAATCCTACTGACTGGGTAAACTAACAAATTAGCCATTGTTAGCTTAACCACATTTGTTAAATCGACTGATTTCACATACTACACCAAGTCATAAACCATGATTTACAAATTATAATGAAATGGCTTGATTCACACATTGTGCTAAAACAAAACCAACGAAATTCAGTAAGGCTTAGTGCAGCGGGTTGAATCCAGCAATTGTAACCTGTTGAACAGATGAAAGATGAGTATAATGTCTTGGCCTTTTGGCTAAGATCTAGTATAGTATTATATCTGAACTGAAAGCAGTTAATGACCTAAATATGACTTGCTCTGAATTTTCAGATGCCCAGGTGATTTTCAGCATTGTTGGAAATCAGTGCATACAACAAATGCCTCACATCCATGGTTATTGGAGCTGCAAAGACATTAGTTCTAATGAGAAAAAATAATAATCCACAGTTGCCAAGTGAATCACTGCAGTTGATAAGTTAATAACACGTTTGTAAAGTGAGTCTGGCTCTCCCATTGACTTTGCTTGTCAGAAGGTCACAAAAGGTGAGCACATGACCTGGGACACTGCAACTGTCATAAATATGAGCCAGTTGCCAAGTGTCCAAATTTTGATCATGTGACCATCATGGGGATGTTGCAAAGGTGAAAAATGGTCACAAGTCACTTTTTCAGTGCCATTGTAACTTTGAATGATCACTAAACGAATGGTTGTAAGTCAGAGACTACCTGTAATTCACTAACATTTGGAGGGCCAAATGAATTTTCCAATAATGTTGACTCCATGAATAATATAATAAAATCAAGTATCATCTAGAATTTCTACAATAGGCCAAACTAATCCAATATTTCTGCGATAAAAACGATTCAAAATTGTCAAGAATGCCAAGTGAAATTTCAAAGAACCCCTTTTTATCTTCCCTACCATAAATTGCAAAATAATCATGAGACACCAGTTGAATTATTCTGCACAAAGCTGAAGATGAGTCACTGTAATTACAAAATTGAAATGGAATGGTAACTGTATCCATTAATGCATTTGTCTTCTTCAAAAATATCCTAGGTTTTACAAGGGAACAACTGAGACTATCACAAACAGATGCCTCAAGAAACCTAGAACAGGAAGAACCTTTTGACCTTTCCCAAAAGAACCACAGGCAAGGATTTTCTTTTCATTCTGACAGGGAGACTGCAAAAGAAAATTCAAGCCATGATGAAGAAGACAATTGCCACAGGGCAGAGCAGTATTCTCCTCGCATGCATGACAAGGGCAAGAACCCTAACAGACTGCAGGATCCTCCAAGCGAAACAGAAAATGAGGTTAAGGATTTCAGAGAGTCATACTGTGATGCAAAAGAGAAAAAGTTCAAAGACACCATTGAGGACAAACAAGAAAACAAAAGGGAGCGAAGCCGGGTAGAGAGAGACTTTGTGAATAACAACGAGGGATATCACTTCGAAAGTAATAGATTCACTCAGTCTCTATCTGACTATTTGTACTTTCAACATAGGAACAAGAGTTTGAAGGAGCTGCTGGAAAGTAAAATGGAGTCACAAACTGCTTTTCTGGGCATCTAAATGGACATCACTAAACTTATCTTTGGGGAAATGAAGTGTTTTCAGAGTTTTGGGCTAACATGAACAATAAAATTGTAAATGACTGTTAAATGATAGCAAAAATTATAAACAAGAAAAAACCCCTAGCAAAAATAATTTAAGACAAATATTCACTTGTTTTTTCAGGTTTTCTGTTTTTACACAGTAATATTTTAGAGATTAATTTAATATATCATTCTCTTCCCAATACCTTGTCCCAATATTTGGACCAGGTCTGCATGTTCAACAGAACAAAGTGGAAGAGTCCTGAGGTAGTAAGTATAATAGAAGGCATACAAGATAATCTTTTTTATGTTTCCTTATGTGATAAGTTTTTTCCCATTCCAACTTTTTACACGATCCTTGTTTTTGTTTGTATATTTAATTTGCTTGCAGGAAGTAAAGCACATGTGAAGCAGCCACCTGAAGTGTTCAGTCTCTAACTCAAGATACTACCATTTGCTTCTGCCAGTTGTGTAGCTCAGTCCAGGCCTCGGTTCCAGGCTCTTAATATTCTGTCACACTGTGGCAAGGCCAAGAACCAATAACTTGAGTAGTTCTGCCTGAGCAATAAGAAATGACAAAAAACCCAGGTTCTTATTCCAGACACTGAAATAATAGGCTTAGTCTCTTTGTGGTGGTATCTGTTCTTGTTTCCTGTTTTTATACAGTAATATTATAGAAGTTAATCTTTTCAAACTCTTTCACCATAACCTGTCTAGATTAATAACCTAGATAACCACATGCACTCTGCAGATAACTCTTAAAAGCCTACTTTTCATACAAAAGCTATCAGTTATAAAATTGCCCTTTTACTAGATCAATATACCCTGCCATGAGAGAAAGAAGTTTATTTCAGTTCTGGACAGGATTTTTTTTAAAAATATATTATAATACAGTTTTGTATTGTTTGCCTTTTGGTGGGGACATGGATGGGCCTTTCAGTCAGTGTTGAGTCCTGGCAACTGCCTGGACAAGTCCTTGAAGTTTTCTTACAAGATTTTTGAAACTGCTTTGCCATTGCCACTGTCACCCATTTGGTTTCATGCCTGTGGGAATAAATTCAGCCTCTTGGTTTCTAGCTTGATGTCTGAACCAGTACCACAATATTATAGAATTCTCTGTATAGCTGCAATAAATACTTAAATGGATTAGAGTGCTATTCCATATCTTCACAATAGTCAAGTCCACTCATTGACAGACATACCTAGAAAAGCAGCCATGGAAGAACGCTGTATCCTTGCATTAACCAATTATTATATTGCAGTAAAGTTTGATTATTTTCTACATACTGAAAGATGCATCCCAAAAGATTTTCTTGACAGATTAACAAAAATAAGCATTTTTATATAATCTTGTGATACAGAGATGATCCTTATGTTTCCATAGATTCTTTTATGTGGAGATCACTACATTGTTCTTCATGTGGGGTAATATGAAAAAGTATCTAAAACATCTTCTAGGACAGTGATGGCTAACTTTTTCTGGACCGAGTGTCCAAAGTGCACACATATGCCCGAACCCCCCAAATGCAATGCACACGAGCCCCCCCGACATACACCCCCTGCGCATGAGCAGCAGAGACCCGAAGACCAGCTAGCCAGTGGGAAGCATGTGTGCATGTGTGGTGGAGCTGAACTGGGGCAACGGCTCGCATGCCCACCAAGAGGGCGCCGCGTGCCACTTCTGGCACGCGTGCCATAGGTTCTCCATCACAGTTCTAGGAGGTTGAATTTCCCTTTTAATGATTTCTATAGCTGTTTGCTTTACTTGTAGACTATGCTATATTTACACTAAGGTTATTAAGGACAATAAAATCTCAGCATGGGTTTGTTAACCTTAAGTGTCCCATGTCTAAACTACATCTGCTAAAGACCTTATTCCACTCTTCAAAAATATTATCAAGGCAACTATTGACTAGATCTGCATTACAAAGTTTCAAATCACTGAATGTGCCATGACTTTACATGGACTTTATGCTGGACACTAGAGCTATGGGAAATGTACAAAACAGACCTTTTGCAGCATATGAATGTACAAGCGAAGCACCGCTATTCAAATAATTAAAGGAGATTTGTCCTCTAGAAAGTTTGCCACAGCTGCATTGAAGATTGTCCTTGACAGTTTGCGTTACCTGTGCAGACAACTTCTATGGAACTGCCAGTGAAGGGAAGTGGCAGAAAACTGGGACAGACTTGAAAACAGCTGCACGAGCTTTCCAAAAGATGCAATTGCCATAACACTTTGAGAAGAGATGCATCATACATGCTAGCGTACTTTGCAGAGCAGTTTCAAATGCATTGTACGGCTATACTGGGGAGAATAATATAGTGAGAGAGATAACACAGAAACATACACAAAAGCATTGCCCCCATTAAAATAATTTAAGGGATGTCCGGACTATTAAATTTACAATATCTCATGCATATTATATGAAGGAAGGAAATTCTATACTTTTTTGGTGACTGATTATAGATATCAAACAAGGAGAAACTTGCACACAGATCTCTGTGGAAAGTAGAAATTTCACATTCTTTCAAATTGTGCATTACCAGTGTCCTTATAATCTCTGGTCTCATTTCTCTTCCTTAGTAATAATTCAATCCTGTCAGAATATGATCTCCAAGTGGTGGAGATAATGAGGGAATTCAAGAATTTAACACTTTCTCTTCCCCTTTACAGTAATTGATTGAATTAGTCTGGAAATATTTTCAGCAACAGTAGAATCAGAAATTTGGTCTTGTAAGTTTTTTTTTTAGAAAATGAAAATGCTGGGCACAGCATTATTTGGAAGTGTGCCCATGTGGACCCTCTCCAAGATAATTTGGCATAATAAGGTGCAATTTATTGGATGGTATAGAAGGGATGATAGCTTCATGGTACTTTGGTGTTTGTAACTTTATATATTGCCCATAGCAGCCATCTTAAGAAGTTCCCTTGAACAGTATTTTGCAAGGCTTCCTGCAACATAATTATGAAAGATTGGAGAGAGCTGTTGTAGTGATTGCAATGTACTCCGCTCTAACACTTCAGCTATTTAGCATTCTCAAGGCATTTGATTCATATACTGTTAGCGTAGGCATCTTGGTTGAAAGGTAAACCAGAGGAGGGCAAGGGACAGAGTATGTAGTATGTCAGGCTATAAACTCTGCCCCTAGAATACTTATTACATATTACATCACAATGCAATTAGAAAGAATAGAACGTGCAACATGATATCACAGAACACATTTCATCACTTAGGTGTCACTATGTTTAGGATATTACAGGATTCTATGGCTATTAGGTCTTGGAAAGTAAGTCATGCAGAGTTCAGTCGACTTAGGGACAAACTAGAAATTATATGGTGCTAATACATTTCCTCCCCATTCAAATATCTTCAGAGAAAGGATTTCCCTGGTAATGGCAACAGGACAAGGAAAGGTAAATTCCTCTTCTCTGTTTAATCTTATGAACCTAAAAATCATCAACTCATCCACCCAATTCTGTTTGCATTTTAAAAAATCTATATAGTATTTATATGTAATGCTACATTTAGCATCAGGGCTAATTTGGCATTTGCTTGAAAGCACAGAAATGAGATTAATGTTAGAATACAATTCTTAAATTGGTAACTTTGCTCCTTTGTTCAGTATGCCTTGCTGCCATTATGTGCATATGATTATGGCCTTAGTTTAGCTTATGGCAATAATATGATCTGTATCTTATTGGATCCTAGTACTTTGATATTAAAATGAGAACTTGTATGTGAAGAGGTCAATAATAAACAGTAGGCATGCTTCTTGTGTTTCATTGGATACAAGTTTGAAAACTTTATTGTATAGATCTGTATTGGCTAAGAGAATGTTCAGATGTAGCTGTTCAATTAGGATTGTATGGCTTAGTGGAGATGGCATTTGACCTTTAGTCATTGTGCTTGGATATGCTCTCTAATAACAAGCAGAAGACAAATAAAGGCCAAAATAAATTTGACATGTTGATCTCTCACTATCTACATAAGATTTTTTCCATAAAGCATTACATTAACATTTCAATTTGGCTAATTTTCTTGTCATGTTCCTTTTGATCCTTGGTAATTATAGTTTTCCATGCACTCTGTAACAGGAGTAGATTCCATGCACTCTGTAACAGGAGTAGATCCACAAAGCTATAGTTGCAGTATTCTTTATAGTAAATCTTAAAGGTATCCCTAAAAATAAATATACTTTATTTAAGAACAAGCAGTACCAGTAGTACCTGATAAGTTGCTTAATGACCATTCAAAGTTACCATGGTCTCAGGAAAAATCATTTGTGATCTGTCCTTGACATTATGACTATGACATCACCCCTGCAGTCACATGATCATATTTCAGGCACTTGGCAACTGGCTTGCATTTACAACTGGTTATAGCATCCTGCAGTCACATTATCTCATTTTGTGATATTTTTTGGCCATTTTCTAGCAAAAAATGCCCATTGGATAAGCTGAATTTGGACTTATGATCACAGGATTCATTTAATGACTGCAGTGACTTGCTTTACAACTGTCATAAACATGGTTGTAAATAAAGTCCTGTCACATGGTGGCTGACCTTACAACTGCAATGACTTACAACCAAAATTCTGGCTCAACTGTGATTCTAATTCAAGGATTACCTGTATTTGGTACAGGGATTCTGGGGAGCTGCATAGAATTCTGCAAGATGCAGCAGTACAGAGCAGGCAAGTGAAAAATTGGAAAGAAATATTGATTGCCTCTCATTATAAGTGGATATAACTAAGACAAGAAACAGAAGCAAGCAGCATGATGATCAATTAACAAACGGTATTGGCCTGAATACGGCAGACCTAGGAGAGCTCAGTTATATTTGGAAAGTGGTAAAAAGAGAGTTCCCAGTTACTGCATAATATGAAAGATAGTTCCTATTTAGATATCTCAAATCTTTTTGATTGCCTAGCATAAGATTGCAATTTTATTTTCGCTATTAAGTATTATGGAGAATGGTACCGTAGTGAATTAAATAAGTTAATTAGATTTTGATAGTTATATATCTATATAAAATTTTTCTCAGCAATTAGGTGATTCCTATTTCTGCATCCCTTTATTCTGTTGAAATATTTGCCCAGGGATATCTCTGACATCTTACTGCTTCATGGTGCTGTTCCATTTTGCAGCTGATGGTGCAAATCTTGAAAGCGTAATTTAAAATATAATATTTATATTAGGCCCATGTTATGTTGAATAGAATTCTGCTATTTGTTCAGTCTTGTATTTACTAAGCTGAATAAGGTGTAACATTAACAATTTATACTTTATCTTTGTAACAATTAATGTGAGCTTTATAAATAGAATTCAGCCAAAGTTACAATTTACTCTTGATATCTAATAATTCATTTCAGAGTTGCATGTAAAATATATTTTGTTAATTTAAATAAAATAAAAAATAGACATATCAATGTTCAACTGTAATTTCTGTCAAGTACATATAGAAATATCAGTGATATCTTCCAGATATACAACAGGTTCAGTTTTGATGTCCCATATTGCTTTCTTCAAGAAGTAAACAAATTCAGAGACATCTTTTACTTGGCTTTAACTTCCATCAGTGACATCAGCACTGGAGATTTAGGAGATTATGACAATATTTTAGTTCATTTACTGAAGGTAGGTGGAGATATGAAGCAATGCATCTACAAGCAAGAATTTTACTCTCCATCTAAGATCTATTCAGAGAAGTCTGTACCAAAGTTCTTTCTCAGCCTTTCTACAAAAGTTTCTTTTGTTTCTAAAAATGCTCCTATTGTTTTTTTTCTGCACATAGACCCCAAATTCAGCCTTTGCTGTGGGGGTGGAAAAGCAAGAAGGAATGAGTCATCTTTCCCACTATAGCTCTTACATTCCAAGCATTAGAATGACTTAAGAAAATTGTTGAGCCACCTATGAATAGAACTGATCATTCTGTCTACATCATTACTTTGTGCAGACGCCAGTATTCTTCTGGGGAGTTAATCAGTCTCTCTGTGTGTATACAGACACATATACATGAATATTTTTGATGGCATCATTGTAAAGATACATAGATCTGATTCATTTACCACACTAAGACATTTGTCTAACCATTGTTTGTTAAATATTAACAGAGGACTGATGAAATATTGAGGGAGCTCCAGTAAAATAAACATGTGCTATAAAATTATAAAAGGCACAAGACTAAAACACACACACCCATTTTTACCCTGCTTTCCCTAAAATAAGACATCCCCTAATAATAAGCCCAATCGGGCTTTTGTGCGCATGGTAATAAGGCCAAGCGCTTATTTCAGGGTCCAAAAACATGTAAGACAGGGTCTTATTTTTGGGGAAACACAGTAATAATATTAATACTTGTATGTATGTGTATGTATGTATGTGTGTGTGTGTGTGTGTGTATATATATATATATATATATATATATATATATATATATATATATATATTGTTTTGTTTTGCTTTGCTTTGCTTGTATGCCATCCAGAAACACTTGCTTGTGAGATATGCAGTCACATAAATATGATGAAATAAACAAACAAATAGTCAAATTTCAGTAGAATTATAATTTGCAAAGTAGAAATACTAGGTGTAGACTAATCTTTGATAAAGGTATACATTAAATCTGGAGAAAGGGAAAGCTATCAGAAAAAAAATTGAAATAATCTTGCCTTGATTGTGTTTGGCATAAAAGGAGGTGGAGGAAAGTCACCGTTTTCAAGATTCTGTTGTAATCGTCTATATTATAACAATAAAGCAGCAATTTTGTAATCTCAGCTAAATATTGGCACATGCCAATACTTTATTGACCTGGTTTTCCTAAAAGCAACAAAGATTGAGCTCCTTAAAAAACAGTGAAAATAAAATGATACTAATATAAATAATGACTGGAACACATAATGAAAACAATTTACAACAATAGGACAATTTAGAAGGCAAAGGTTAGTAATTGTAGTTTTGTGAAGTATTCATTTCAGGGAACAACGTGAATGGAGAAAGGTTTTGCTTGTGTACTTTGGAAACACTGTAAACTCGTTCAGCATGTGGAGGAAACTCTGTGCCTTTGATAGCTGGGAGGGACCACGATACTCTCATGTGGCTCTTAGCGTTTCCGCTTTGCTAGATACAACAACAAATTTTAAAGGGGTACAAAAGGCTTGACCTTTTTATAATATATTTGTTTCAGCATCTTTGTTGGCAGTTGAACTGAGTTTCTTTTGCATAACAGAGCATCTCTGAAAATTCCCTATGGTCTAATCATTCGGTGAAGAAGCAGACATTATTTGTTCAAATAATACACTGTTATAATTTACTTCTCCATGATGTATTGCACAAATTAAGGTTTACACAACATACTAGGATATAACTACACACATTGTGTTTCTCACTATATATGAATCCCATCCTTAGCCATAGGACAATCCTCCAGATTGGTACCACCACTGGAGTTTTAGTCAGAAAGTTTATTACCTACCTTTCAACTGAAAGATTCTCAAATACCCAATTTTTCCTAAGGAGAAGTGGCTCTATACCACCACCAGTAAAACCTTTGAATGTATCCCTAATGAAAGTGCTGTGAGAAGAAATTATCTGACAACAATCAGTGATCTTAAACAACATTGGAGCTTCATGAGAGAAAAGTGACTTTCACTAGACTAATGTCCTCCAAGCAGAAATCACCTGTCTTTGAGTTTGCACATTGTTCTAAATCATAATGTAAGCTATTTTGATTTTGGCTTAATATGTTTTGTGACTTTAACCATTGTGATTTTTAAACAGGATCATATTGCTCAATATGGTGTGAGAATAACTCATCATATTTCATCTCAAAAATGGTGGCTTTGTAACACAATATATCACAATTTAGCATAGTATGTGAAACCTGATGTTAAAACTCTACTGAGGCATAGGCCAATATCTGAATGGCTGTACGTAGTGGCACTTGAACTGGGTTAGAGCAAATATAGATAACGGCTCTTGTTTATTTTCAGCACACTGAATACCTGCACTTTGGATCTGTGGGCGTATATGTGAACATGATTCATGTTAGATACATCTAAGCAACAGAAGAAAAAGTTTAGCCGGAAGAAAACAATGGTGATTCAAGCAAGCCAACAAGTGGCAAACAGTTCCAAAGATATTTGAACCTCCCAAACAAAAGTTAAATGGTTTAGATTATAGTGGTAAATTTTGCATTTTTGTTTTCAATGAGACGTTTGAGTGTTGTTGTTTTTCACTGGTAGTGATGGAATCATTATTACCAGATACGAGTTATAGCATTCTAATGTCAGAAAAGAAGAAACTATTGTCTATGTTTAATATGTTTTTCATTTAATCCACTGAAAACTGTATTGCTTATATTTACTATAAATATAAATACTATGAATATTGTGATAAACAAAGATGGTTACAAGAGAGTAAAAAACATCAACATGGCAGTTGCAACTTTATGATCAACCCTGATTGCAGCCACTAACTTGACTTTTGTTTTAACTTCTCCTAAAGCTGCTTTGCCCTTGAAAACTTTTTTTTTATTGGAAAGCACTGAGCTACAGTCACTCACAGCAGATTGGACAGCCACAAGTGGTCCAAACTTTAAAGGGATCAAGAAAGAGACAAGTGATTATGAGCTTGTAACCTTCTGGATATGGATGGATACAACAATAATAACCAGAAAAGTCATAGCCAATGGATAGGGTATATGGGACCCCCCAAGTTTATCATCTTTGAACTGGATCTGACTCAGCTCTAATAATCTTTTAGCACACATATTCATCCCCATTAACTTGCTTTATTTTATTTAGTAGTAAAATATAAGTATAGGAAGCTGAATTAATGACAGATGGTGCTGTTTTGTAGAACGGAGTCTATGACGTATGAGAAGCCTATACTTAATAATTGGCATCTCTATACTTGTATACTGGAGCACGCAGTCGGAGATCTTTGCTGGATCATTTCCAACACTGTGGAGATGTTTGATCTTAACGCAATAATAATCATCCAGATACATTTTAAGCTGAAAAAGAAAAACCTTTTTCTATAAAAAGGCATACTTATTTTGCTATTGATAGGCATCTATGAAATTGGTTTTGGTCTAGTGGTGTAGGAAGTTAGCACCCACCCCTTTTCTAGAAGAATGAAATATTTTAGGAAATATTAAAAAGGCAGAATATTATGTTTCCCTCGTTGAGAAATGGAGAAACATGTTTTAAAAACAAAGCAACTCCCACCTTCCTGCCTCCCCCCCCTTTGTTAATGGGGCAGAGGCAGAAACTCGATCTTTGACAATAGGACCCATCTGCAACACAATAGCAACAGAAATTCACCACATGGCAACTGGGAAGATTACATCAGCCAGCAAGGCTAGCTAAGACCCCCACCCCCTGGGAGCCTGGGAGTCTGACAACTAATCTTTTGGGACCCCAGGAAGTTCAAAACCAGAGAGAGCATAAAACTCTCTATAGGACTCAGCTGTATCTCGCCCCTTTTCTGTTCAGGAACTCAAGCCATGTGATCCTGTCCACCATTAAACCATCTTTCCAAGCAGTCTCCATGTTTCCAGTGTCTTTTTCCCCACTTGGAGCTGAACCCAGAAGGATATTTCTTCCAACAATAAGGCCCGAAGCTAGAAAGCAGGAGACCATGAGTTCAAATCCCGTTTTAGCCATGAAAGCAGCTTGGTGACCTTGGACCAGTCATCTTTCTCAGTCCACAGTAGAGCATTTTTGCTGTCAGAAAAATAGGCAGTTGGGCCAAATCAATGTCAAAACCTCACCATCTAATAAAATGATTAGAAAAAGAATGAAATCATCCTGTATCATGGTCACTACCATTCTTTTTTTCCCCCTAAGTCTGCATGGGGAGAATATTAGATATAGCAGGGGTCTCCAACCCCTGGTCCATTTACCGGGCCGCGGCATGCCAGCAACCTAGTCACGCAAACAAGCCCCAAATGCAGGATGCAGACAGTGCCCAAAATCACACCCCCTCTGGTCTGCGGAAAAACCTCTCTCCATGGAACTGGTCCCTGGTGCTCAAAAGGTTGGAGGCCATTGAGTTAAAGTATATGATTTGCACAGAGTTCAGATGCATTTCTTGGTATCTTCATCTAATACACGGGCATATTGAAAGATAATGTCTGAAACACAGTCTGTTCTAATGTCTGGGACACTTCCAATTAGAATACAACCCTATTGGGCCTCAACATTTATTATACTGGATAGAGCTAATGGAACTGGAATCTAACAGCTGAAGGGCTTTAGGGTGCTCACCTCTGGGATGGACAAAACTGGACAAGACAGAGAAATATCCTGAGCGACAGAAAGCGGCTTCCTTTGTTTCTCTTATCTACACCCTGACTGCTTCCTTGTGTAACTTCCCCTCACAGTAATATCTAGCTTTGTGCCCTGCAATTTTATAAGAAAGTTTTAACATCCTTCAGTTTAAGGGCAGAAGAGTAACTAAATTCCAGCACACAATTGTCTTATTAGTTATGGAACGGGATGCACCTAAAAAAGGTGTCTTGAGACCCTTGAACCTGGAATGATCTATCAATTGTCAGATAATAAAAGACAATCAAATGTGTTGGGTGACATATTTCCGTCAGGTCTGTTCTTCTCATCCCACAGTTGGGCAGGTGATAACCAAACCACAGTTGTAGAGTTCTAGTTATAGACACACTTCAATACTTAAATGTTGAGTGGCAAACAGCCAATTTGCTACCAGTTGAGTTATTCACACTGCAATAGGAAGCAATTTTTATGATGTACAAATTCCTTCTGTTTTTTTGAAGCCAGGCAACAATCATAGATATCTATGAATATTATATAGTAAAAGAAACTCCACTTTAGAAATAGAAAATGTCCATTTTAGGAAGCTCATGTGGGTTCTAATATTTTATCACATCACTCTGAGATATTAGGACAGGAAGTTCTAGACAGCATTTATGATCTTCCCAACTCGCTAATGTTCATAAAGCTAAAGGAGAGTCAAGAAGATGAAACTGCTTATTTCCCTCAACTGCATATTTAAAAACTACTGTTTTCAGTTGTGCTTTTGCCGGTGATTTTAGCAAGAATTACCTGCTAAAATCTGAAACAGATTTTCCTAAACTGGGATACTTAGTTAAGACTGTTACTGGCATTTTTTTTGAATAATTTCTGGTACTTCATTGTTAAAAATGCTTCTTTTTCACACATTAAAAAAATGAGCGCTTACTTGGCTGCCCCATGTATCTCTTTCAACTCTTCCCCTTTCTTTTCCTTTCTCTGCAATGTCTGTGGCTATAGATATGAAACAATGCCTTGATCCTTCAATAAACAAAAGTAGAACTTCAGAAAACTGGCCTAAAGAGATTATCTATCTAGACTAGCATTGTCTTGTACTTGATTGTTCCTCCAAGATATAGATTGTACAAGTGTTAGAAATTCTGTTTATATAGCCCTACAGAACAAAGTGCACAGTCACCATGTGCTTTTCTGCTTAACTGTAGGGCTATATAAACAGAATTTCTAACAAGTTATGGGCCCAGTCATAGCTGGCTACAGCAAATAAGTGTAAGATACAGTAGCAGAAAGGCCCATGTGGACTGTACACTTTCTTTGTTCTGTGTACACACACACACACACACATACATGCATACACATGTATATATACACGCGCATATGTATACACACATATGCAGATTCAGCAGGTGGAGAACTGGTAATGGAAATTTTGAGTAGTTCGGAGAACCGGTAGTAAAAATTCTGACTGGCCCCACCCCATCTATTCTTCGCCTCCCAATTCCCAGCTGATTGGGAGGAAATGGGGATTTTGCAGTAACCTTCCCCTAGAGTGGGGTGGGAATGGAGATTTTATAGTATCCTTCCCCTGCCATGCCCACCAAGCCACACCCATCAAGCCACACCCACAGAACCGGTAGTAAAAAATTTTGAAACCCACCACTGCACATATGTATATGCTGTATACAGAATTTCTAACAACAAGGCATTGCAATTGCATTGCAAGACATTGCTAATAACCCCTACAGACCCAAACAAATATTTTTGATATGGTTTCCATGAATCTTCAGAGGGATGCTTCAGTTCTTGGTTCCTAAAATCTGGCTGCTCCCTTGTAGTAACATATAAAAAGTCTTTTGAAAAAGGGATTATCCATATCATATTATGAGGTTGGTACAGTTGTGTGAGCTATTAACCAAATTGCCCTTATTAGATGTAGATATTAAGATATGACAGCCACTTTGACTACTAAAAGCATTACTTTTAACAATTAATCTTGTGCAATTTTGATCTATAAAAGCACAACAAATCTCCAACAATATTAAATCATTTAGCATTGTATTACAATAATGAAATAGAAGCATTGGCTTCTTTGGATATTGAAAAAGTATTTGGCATACCACAACATAGGCTATAAGCAAACTGGATTTCCATCACATTTCATTTTTTGAATGAAAAGGGAATATTTCTTATATTAAAACTTGGCAAGGATGCTCCTTATCTCCTTTAATATTTAGTATAGTGTTGGAAACATTGGTATATTTAAGAAGACATCTTGGGCCATTCTGGATATTTGGGTCTCAGCAACTGAATGTAAGGTCTTGCTATCAGTAATGTATTGGAATGAAAATAATATTGAAAACATACTATTACGAGCCCAGGGAGTTATTACTTGGTGTCTTTGAAAACTTGGCAAATACTTTAACATTATATGAAAGTACAGTTAAATTTGTTGCACTTAAAAGAGTTATACATGTTGAAGCCTTATTGCTAAGAAATTAAAATTTGTCTATAGTTTTCATGAGAAATTGATGCTTTAGAAGAGCTCTTATTTAAAACTGGATATGAGAGGGGGTGCGAATGGTCAGTGAAATGGGTAATATTGGATAATCACTGTTAATCAGTTAGTTATAAATGCCATATTTACAATTTCTGAAAGAATGCAAGTAAAATATAAACAAATTAATGGTTTTATATAGATAGTCAAAATATATTACTATATTCCTTGTTTGGATCAGATGTTTTGAAAGTACTGAAAAAAGCGTTTATAAGCCCAAACCAACAATCACACATAATTGACAATTAGAACACTTTACAGAGATAAATTTAAATAACATGTAAGATATTTGGAAAATTGAAGTAACCTATAGTATAAAACACATATTTCACTGTAAATGGATAAGGTTGGTGTTAAGTTTGTGTGAG